GAAAGGCCAAATGGCCTACATAGGCCATGACAGAGTCCACTATTTCGCCCAAACGAAACGAGTGCAACCGTATCCCCAGGAAAACTCCTTTTGGGTGGCGCCCTACAGCATGGGCCGCCGACAACCTCAGACCATGCATGGTCGTCGGCGAAATCCCCGAGACGCTGCTACCCCAGAGAGCTGAGACCGTTGCCCCAATTCGCTGCACAAGAGCCACATCGGCCCCAGCCTCCCTGAGAAGTCGAAGACGCTTCGAACGCGAACCTGCATCGATGAACCTCGCCCTCTGCACTCCCACACGTCACCTAGTCCCAGTTGTCGCGTCGGTGCCTAGTTTACGCGCATGCTCGACCCGAGACGACACAGGCAGGCACCAAGCTCCAGTAACATGGGCCTGAACTTCACGCGTGCACATGCACGTGCTTTTCCTGATGTTCACGGGCAGGTGGAGCTCGTTAAAGCACGCAAAGAGCTGGCCGACTGCACCCGCAAGTACCTGTGCTACCTGCAGTGGTCGCCCACAAACCTGAAGCGCCACATCGTCCACAACATTGCGGGTGAAAATATTGGGACGACCTTGCTGAGTGAGGAGGAGAAGTCGGAGCAGCAAGAACTTGGCCAAGGTAGTCGCCCCTGAACATTCTGCCGCCGCAGCTGCATTCGCAAAGTATGGCGTCGAAACTGCTCCTCCATACAGAAGTGCCTTATATCCTGCATAAATAGCGCAGTACCCCCTGAGGACCTTGATGGGGGACCCAGACTGGAGCCCAGCAGCTTGGAGATCCTGGTGCCTTATCTGTTCGTCAAATTTGCTCAAGTCCACCAAGACAGACCCACTCTGAAGCCCAACCTCCTTGCAGAAACCTCCCAAGAGATTGCGAACCCAACCAGCCCTCTCGCACGTGTTGCGGGGCCCCGTGCCCCAATAGAAGGCTTGCGCATACTTCCTCTCCCAAGCCTGACAGCAAGGTTGACGCAGCCGTGACCACAGCCGCGGGGCGAGGCAGAGGAGGCCGATGGGGCGTGCACCGCCGTCGGGCTTGTCTAGGAAGACCATGTTGGTCAGGAAGGCAAGTAGCTCCTGTGGTCTGTCCTCAAACCTGTGCAGAAAATCTAAAATCCTTAGCTGGTGCTCCTCCGTGAGGCTCAGAACCCATCTCGGGTGAAATCCGTCCCAGCCCAAACCAGCACCTGGGGCATACTTCCGACACGCTTTCAGGAGCCGGTCCAGGGATGGGTTCCAACTGAGCTTCATCATCTGGGACAGACCATAGCGACGGGTGTTCGTCCTGCCTGCCCGCGACGCACCACAGTGGTACCCTCTGGTCTAAGAGGGCCGAGAGTGCTTCTGCACCAGCATGAGGGACGCCCTCGGCGTCGAGAAGCGACGCGGCATTGGATGCCTTCTTTTTAGCATACTTGTGAGCCGCCTTCCCTCCTCCTTTCACACTCTCAACCGCCCAGCGCCTCCACTCCTTTAGAGATGACTTTGAGTCCTCCCGCCTCCTGCTGTCCACCTCTTTGTCTATCTTAAACAAGGCATCGTGGACGGGCTCGTCGCCCGCGGTGGCAACATCAGCGAAGGTGCTCAAAAAATCGGGCGAGAGCTCGGCGTCGGCGGTGGACGGGCCCATGTCGGCGACCATGGCCTTCAGGTCCCTGGACCACTGAGCGAGGAGCACGCGGCCCTTGCAGCCGACTTCGCCTACTCGAGTCTGGCAAATACGCCTGCAGAGCGCGCCATGGGACATCCAAGCGGTCGTCGAC